TAGACCAAATGCCCCACGGCTCTAATGGACCTCTGCAAAGGTCTCCTCATTAGTTCCCCCCATCTGCTCTTTCCTTATATCAATCCAATGGCTGCACTGCAGTTGGAGTGACATTTTAAAAAATGCTACTTTCTCATTTAACTCCTTTGCTGAAAGACTTCCAATGGCTCTATACTTTTAAAAATAATAATAATTATTATTATTATTATTATAGCTAACACTTATGGAAAACTTATTATGTCCTAGGCCCTGTTACAAGGACTTTACACATTTTAACTCATTTAATCTTCACAACTCTAAATATCCCCATTATACAGATACGGAGACTGAGACTCAGAGAAACAACTTCAGGGACTTTGCATAAGCTCTTACCCCATCCTTGGCTCATTGACCCGACTGACTGTCGGAGCATTTGAGGATCTCCCTTGTTAGGTCAGGTCCCCGTGGCATGAATCCCAGTTTTCATTATATAATTGTTTAGGGGTATCATTTGGTCGATGTCAGTCACTCCAATAGGCTTTAAATGCTATGGCTGTTTTGCTCATAATTGTATCCTCAGTGCTCAACCTATAACAAATACTCACTTGATATTCACTGAATGTATCAATGAAAAGTGTTTTCAATAGGAGAGGGGATGTGGTCAGATTTGTGTCAGAAGGAGTTCTTTCGTGTGGAAGTTTGGAGGTGGTGAGACCAAGTCACTGGCAGGAGCTGAATTCAGGAGTGAGAGGAAGGCAGGCTGGACTAGGGGAGTGGCAATGGGGATGGAGAGAAGCAGGTGAACCTGGGAGGCGTCGAGGAGGCAGCCCTGGTGATTAAGTGGATAGAAGTGAGGACGGAGGAGTCAGGAGTGACTCTCAGATTTCCAGGTGTACCTTGAACTGGGGTAGGAAGCATTTAGAAGGAAAGAGCCAGATTGGGTTGGCAGAGCAGGGCACCCCTAGACTAAGTCAACTGAAACGTGGAAAAGTTCTCAAACTCCTTAGCTTGGTCCTGGTGTATCTTATTCGGCTGCATCCCCAACCTGCCCCCAACCTCGGGGCATGTAGACCTCTGCTCCTCCCCCAGGCCCCACCTGTCCTCCTCCCTGCCTTCCTAAGTACAGTCCTGCCCCCTACCTCTCCCTCACTCCACAGGACTCAGCTCCAGGGACATCATCTCTGGAATCCCTCCATGCTCCTCGACCCCATCCTCTTCCATCCGGGATTCACTGTATCAGGAGTGTTTCTCTGCCTGTCACCCCTGATGATGGTGTTCCTCAATTCTGAATCCCTAGCACCTGGTACAGGGCCTGGATCAAGGGAAACCTCAAAAAAGTTTGTCTCATTGAATTTGCCCAAGGGCTTGGCTTTATCATATTAACAGTTGAGGCCAGAAACGGGACATTAAATCCTGGTGCCATCATTTAGAGTTTCGACAAGTAAGTCACTTCTCTCAAGCCTCTGTTTCCCTGTCTGTCAAATGCAGACGATAATACAGTGGACCTACCTCGAAGAGTTGTTTTGAGGGTCAAATGATATACTCTATGTTGTGTTTACCACAGTGCCTGGAATATGATTAGTTCCCTCAAAAACTAGCTTGTTATTTATTTTAAGGAAAAAAAATTCTCTCTTTAACACCAGGAAGGGGCATGAGCTGGAGCAGAGGATTGCAGTTCTCAGGATGGCCACATGAGGGATGTGGTGAGCAACCTCCGTGCAGACTCTGGCTCCGCTGTGCTAAGGCACCTGCTGAGGACGCAGATGGCCCGGCTGGGGTTTCCGGGGCTTCCCGGCCCCGAACAGGTGGGCCCTGGCCAGGACTCCGCGGGAGAAGCCTCTACCATGTGCTTGCTCTCAGACTCTCACAGCCCGGGCAGTTCCTCCTGCTCGTCCTGGTCTCTGCTTGGGGGAGGGGCTGGCGGGCCAGAACAAGCAGAGTGGAGAGCAACTAGGATTTATCCGGTGAAATTTGTCGTTTGTCTTTCAAACTCGATTATGGTCATTTCTTCTGTATAGAAGTTTCATAGTCAAATTTATCGATATTTTCTTTTATGGCTTCTAGGTTTCATCATACTTAGAAAGTCTAACATCTCCAAGGTTATTGAAACATTCATTCATGTTTTCTTTTGATGCATTATGGTGTATGTATGTATGTATCTATTTATGAAGGAACGAATGAATGACAGAGTCTCACTCTGTTGCCCGGGCTAGAGTGCCATGGCGTCAGCCTAGCTCACAGCAACCTCCAACTCCTGGGCTAGAGCCATCCTCCTGCCTCAGCCTCCCGGGTAGTTGGGACTACAGGCACGTGCCACCGTGCCTGGCTAATTTTTTCTATTTTTAGTTGTTTGGCTAATTTCTTTCTATTTATAGTAAAGACCGGGTCTCGCTCTTGCTCAGGCTGGTCATGGTGTTATTATTTAAATATGTACTCCACCTGGAATTTATTTCAGTGTACGATAAGGACACAGCTTTCTTCCCCATTTTTTTTTTTTTCTGTCTTTCAAGCTGGAGTTTAGTGGTGCAACCATAGCTCACTGCAGCCTCCAACTCCTGGGCTCCAGCGATCTTCCCACCTCAACCTCCTGAGTAGCTGGGACTACAGGTGTGCACCACCACCCCTAAATTTTCTATTTTTCATAGAGATGGGGTCTCACTATGTTGCTCAGGCTTATCTCAAACTCCTGGCCTCTAGCGATCCTCCTGCCTTGGCCTCCCAAAGTGCTAGGATTACAGGCATTAGCCATTGCACCCAGCCAGGACAGAGCTTTCTTCCGTTACCCCAAATGACTTGCCAGTTATTCCACCGATTTGTTGAAGGCCTATCTTTCCCCTCACTCATCTGAAACGCTATCTTTTTCATACACTGAATTCCCGTTTGTGGCTGGAACCATTTATATACTCCATTTTGTTCCGACCGTCTGTCTAGTCCTGCTTCAATACCATACTGATTTAAATATATTGACTTTATAATATGTTTTAATATCAGGTAAGGTGAATCCCTTTTCATTATTTTTTGTTTCGAGTTTTATTCCTGCATGTTTATTCTTCTGTATGCACTTAAGAATTAATAGCCCCCCGCATCTCCCACCCAATCCTTCCAGAAGTCAATATTGAACTTTGGAGACCCTGAAATTATATGCAAAATGTACATTTGTACATTTCTCCGGAGAGAAAGTCCAAAGTTTTCATCAGATCTGCAAAGGGACCACGATTCTGAAGGGAGCCCCCGGCTTATGTGTCTTTGTGAAAGGGGCACAGGAGGAGCTCAGAAGGAGCCCGATTCCTACCCCCTCTCCCACATCCCCAGGCTCTGCCACCATTGTTCCAGGTGCTTCCCTGGCTTCCATCTTGCCTCCCCCAATCTAATCCCCTTTGCTGCCCCAGAGTGACCATTCTACCACACAGGTCCTACCTCTTGGCCTAGGCCTGATGTAGATTAGATGATAACAAAACTTTAGTAAGTAAATGAAGTCACGAGTCCCAGCTCCCCCTCCAACCACTGTGAGACCCAGCCTAAAGCTGGGTCCACATTTTTGGGCCTCAACTCACCCTTCCCATAGGCCAGGTGAGAAGGATGAAATGGGATGAAGGGTATGTGGAAGACAGAGCTAGCTGTCCCCAGGAGAGTCATTTAATCCCAATAACTTTCCTTTTCCCCTCACCTGCCCACTCCTCATTCACATTGTAATTCATGACCTCAGCAGGGGGACTACTCATTTTACCTACCTCTAGCAAATAATGATAAATACTGTCTGTCTTCTCTGTAAATGAATGAATCGAATTACAACACTAGAGCCCAAGAGTGGAATTGACCAGTCCTAAGGAAGGTTAAACACACAAGTTGGGGACAGGCATGAGCCTAGGGGAGACTTTATACAGTATCCTCCTCAAGTCCCAAGCTGTTGAGGAACCCAGGACTCAGGAAGTCCACTTGGAAGTTCATTTAGGTAGATGCCGGGCCCTAGAACAAGCTTTCTCGACCTCAGCACTGTTGACACTTTGGGCCTGACAGTTCTCTGGGGTGGGGGCTGTCCTGTGCATTGCAGGGTATTTAGCAGCATCCCTGGTCTCTTCTCATGAGATGCCAGTAGCAACCCCTAGTTGTGAGGACCAGAAATGTCCCCAGACATCATCAAATGTTCCCTGGGGGACAAAAATTGACCCAAGTTGAAAACCACTGCCCTAGGAGAAGTAGAGGGGACAGGGGAAGGAGGTTAACTTGGGTCTCAGGGTAGGACACTCTCTACTCCCTTATCTTCTGTCTGACAGGGACATTATAAAGTCTTTTTCTTCATAGCAGGCGCTTAGGCGTCTCTTCTCTCTGAGCTTCGGTAATCATCTGTAAAGCGGACTTGATGTTTGTAAGTCATTTTCCCTTCTCTCACCATCTGACGTTCCTGGATCCAGTCCAGGGTAGGGCAGGGGGCGCCGCGGTGCCAGTGAGATCTTGGGAGGTGCCCCAAAGGGAAGGACGAGAAAGAACACATAGGGGTGGCTGCGGAGAGGGATGGCCAGGCAGGAGGCAGGAGCGTCCTAGGGACATGGAAAGATTTGAGGCGTCCACAGACCGCGTTCCTTCGAGGCTCACCCCATTCGAGAGCGCGTTAACATACGTCCCCCCAACCAGGCAAACCCAGACTGTTTCCCTGGGCGCCGCCCACTACCAGGGGTCGGCCCCATTGGCCCCGCCCTGTCCGTGTGGCCCCGCCCCTCAGCAGAGGCCCCGCCTCCAGAAGGCCCCGCCTCTCTCTTCGCCTCCCGCCAGCCCGAGCTCCGGCTTTGCACCCGGCGGCGACTGAGAGCGGTGTCTGCTGCGGAGCCGGCAGCGCAGGCGGGCGGAGCGGAGTTGCCCGGCCCCGTGGCGGGCGATGCCCCCGTGAGCTTGTCTCGCCGCCCCTCCCCGCCCCGCGTGCCTACCCCCCTCAGAGTCCGCGCCCGACTGGGGCCGGGCCGCGCCTACCGCCGGGTCCGCGGGGCGGGGTCCCGGGGCAGCACCTGCCCCGCCTTGCGGAGCCGCCTCGGCCTGCGGAGTCCCCCCTTCCTGTCTGGACCCCGGCCCCACCTCCGGGTAAGTCAGTAGGCCTTGCTCGCCTGGGAGTGGACGTGGGGAGGGGGCTGCGGAGGTCTGGGGGACCACAGGAGGGGGTTTGGCCGTGAAGCGCAACGTAGGGATGTGAGTGTGCAGGGTCTGGGGTGGTGGGGGCCTGGAGATGAGCACAGTGTGTGCGAGGGCTCTGGGGCGAGGGCTAAGGTATGAGAGTGGGACATGGAGTGTGGGGGGAAACCTGGAAAATGGGGTAGGGATCCCCAGAGTCTTGAGTTCTTTGCTGATGCTCAGAGCACCAGGGGCCCTGGTCTCAACAGCATTGCCTCGCATGGCATTTTTGCAAAGTGCTTAGAATCCCTCCTGGAAAGGGAGCTGGAAGGCAGCCTGCCTTCTCCCTCCTGCCTGTGCCCTGGTTGAGAAGCAGCCACTTTTTCCTGCCAACGTGACACCATTGTGGTGCCCAGAGGATCCCCCCACCCCATGAAAGAAAAGGGGTGGTGCTCACTCCAGTCCTAGGTGGGGAAAAGGGGGGCTTCTGGGAAGCTAGGAAAAGCGGTGGTCAATAGCATGGTGGGAAGCCCAGGGTTCATGGAGGCTTGGCAAGACCCTTGGTGGGCAACTTGGGCACCCTCTCATTCATGGGGAGGATATAGTCCCTAGCTGGCCTTCTGGCTGCCTGGACCCCGTACCCCCATCACCTCTGGACAGCCCAGTCCTGAGGAGTGGGTTTCTTCATAGTGTCCTCATCCTGAAACCTCAGGAAGAGCCCATTGCTCCTGTGGTCCTGGATTGGGTGGGCAATGCCATATCCAAGGCCAGAGAACAAGGGGAACTGGCTGATGCTGCCATCTGGGGGCTGTTTGAATGTGGCCCGTCAGGGGGCTTGGGAACCTGGGTGAATGTCAATGTCCAACCCTAGACCTAAAGGTGTTGTCTGGGTGTAGGGAAGAAGGCTGCTGCCCCTTTGGTCCTGTGCTCTACCCATGGTGACTTCTTAAGTCTAGGTTCCTTGGGTTTGGGGCCTGAAGTGATGGGAGGAGGGTCTTTCTGGGTTGGACCTGGTCACTAAGAGGTTAATGAGCAATCCCCATAGTTGCTGCCAGCCACCAATTAGACTGTAATCAGGCAGCTGCCAACTGTCCCTGGGGGCATGTGGGCAGCCTAATGGGGCATTCTCTGGCTGGGGAGGGGGGTGTTGGGCAGGGGCCTGCTGGAGGGGGGTGGTAAATGCAACCTGTGCTTAACCCAAGCACGATGCCCTTTTAGAGTTTGTTTAGAACTCACAGACCCCTTCTCTGCCCTCTCTGTCTGGCTGCCTGGCTTAGGGACTTCCAGCCCTGGGGTTCTACACTTACCTGGCCCTTTGCAGGGTATGAAGCCCAGAGTCAGCTAAACTCGGCTTCAAACCCAGGCTTTGCCACTTCCTGGCTGTGTGATATTGAGGAAATCACTTCCCTTCTCTGAACCCCTTTCAGTAAAATAACCCTACCTCCTATGTCTCTGGAAGGAGTAAATGAAATGGTGGATTTCAGCTGCTTAGCACAGTGTTTGGCACTCAGGAGAGCTCAGAAGGTAACTGCTGAACTCACAAACCACCCCTGTGCCAAGTACTTGCTAGGGCAGGCTTGCAGGAGTCAAGTGCAGAGGACCCAGCAGGGACAGTGGTCCCTTTCCCTCGGGGCATGTGGTCTGTGTCGCTGCTTAACTATTCTCTCTCCTTCCCTCCTTGCCCAGCGGCACTTCTAGTCTCTGGACTTTAATTGGATTTTTCCTCTATGGAGCCCAGGCCTGAAGCTGCTACTCTCTGGGCTCCCCATCTTCCTGCCCAGGTGCTGAGCTCTGCAGGGTCTGTCAGGGGTCTGGGTGATGTCTGCAGCTGCAATAGCAGCTGGCCCTTTAAGGAGGGAAGAAAACAATTATCTGGCCTGGGCATTGCATCAGCTGGAGCCTGGAGGGTCCCTGGGGAGGTGGGGGGGGGGCGGGAGGCCAGTGGTTGATTTCATTAGTGCCATGTGAGAACTCTCACCTGAGTCTGCCCCACTCCCCAGCTGCAGCCTCTGCCTCCTCCTACCCTGGGAGCATCACCTTGGAGGACTTTCTCTGCATGCACCCCCATCCCATGTCATGGGCCTTTTGCAGTGTGAGAGACACTTGGCACTGTGGCAGTGTCCCTCCTGCTAGCATTCTGCTGACTTGGGGTGCAGGGTGCATCTCCTGTACTGGCATTTTGTTCTCAATAGGGGTGTCTCCCTCATAGTGTTTGGCTGACCTGGAGGATGTTTCTCTCACACTGGCATTTTGTTGACCCAGGGGAGGGGTGACTTCTACACTGGCCTCTCACTGACAGAGGGCTGTCTCCTACACTGGTATACTGCTGACAAGACAGGAGAGCTTTGCTGGCTGGCGTGTGTGAACCCAGGCATGGGTTAGACACAACTGCTCTCTGGCTGGGAATGGTGAGTCACAGGGGTTGTGTGTTCTTGGGCAGAGAAGAGACCAGCTACTTGGGCATCAGACAGACCAGGGTTCAAATCCTGTGTCCTCCACTTCCAACCTATTACCACTTCAGGCAGGTGGCCTCAACTCCAGAGCTTCAGTCTTCTCTGGAAAACAGGAATAATTTATACCTGTATTACCCCCCACATCAGGAAGGCCATGAGGGGATTACACGTAGTAACTGGATGTACAGCACCCAGTCCAGGGCTGGCAGGGGGAGGGTGCATACTCTATGGTGGGTCTCTTCCCTTTGCAAGTTTGGGCTCTTCACACCTTGAGTTCAAGAAGCCTGGACAAGAGAAGGAGGGTCCAGGCGTCATGGAGAGAAGGGGAGAAAGAATGCATGGCTCTCCAGCCTCTGTTGCAGGATGATGCTTTCAGTCCGCTGGGTGCCTCTGATGTGCCAAGCTCTGTGAGCCAGGCGGCCCTTGCCCTAGTTGGGACGTGACCCAGAGCAGGTAATTACACATGTGACAAATGTTGAAAGGAGGGGTTCTGGGAGGCTCTGGAGTCTATCACCAGAGGTGTTTTCCTACGCTCTGGGGTCTGGGAAGGGCTCCCGGAGAAGGTGACATCTTAGCTGAGGTGTGAAGGGTACCAGGAAGTTGAGGAGGCAAAGAAGGGGTGAGGGAGGGGGACAGTGTGTCCAAGGCCCTGGTGATGGTGAGGAGAGGGCAGAGCATGGGCAGAGCCCTGGGACAGCCAGACCCAGGGGTCTAGCAGGGTACTAAGGACTTGGGAATTTCTCTTGAGGCCCATGGCAGCCCCTGGAGCATTTGAAGCAGAGGGAGCAGAGTCAAATTTCCAGAGTGTGGGCTGGAGTCTGTGACAGAGCCTTCTTGAGAGTGACCCTTTGCCCTCTCCTACACCCCTTCCTTGTGCGGCAGCCTTGGCCCCAGGGAGCCGGTTGTTTACACAGCTTGCCCCAGGAGGAGAGGGCCAGTCCCAGTCCCTCCAGCTCCCTCTCTCTGGGCCCAGTAGCGTCACAGCCTTGTTCATGAAGCTCAGCCCCTGGGACCAGGTTGCCAGAGGGCAAGAGGCCTGGCTTTGGCACCAGGCTGGCCTGTATTCATATCCCAGCTCTGCAGTTCATGTGTCTCCAACTATAACATGGAGTTGATGCTCTCTGTGGGAAGGAGAAAGTGAAATTCTAGATGGAAATCATAAAGCCCCATCTCAATGTCAGTTGGCATTTTTGCTGTGTTGCATTGCAGCTGACACCTACTCTGGGCCAGGCCCACGGTTGGCTGGGGTGGGCTGGTTTCAAGAGTCTGTGGTCACACAGGGCTCTGCAGCTAGGATCCCACACTTGGTTTAATGTTCTGCTGTCACTGTCTTAAAATTCTTAGTAATTTTGAACAAGGGGCCCTGCATATTATATAGCCCCACAAATCAGGCAGGGGTAGGAAGAGGCAGGGAGAGATGCAGACCTGCAAATAGTTTCTAAGTGGAGGATGCTTAGGTGGAGGGCATGACTAACTGTCCCAAGGTAGGTGGGATGTTAATAATAGTAACGTTTATTTAGTGCTTACTCTGTGCTAGTTCTCTGCTAATCACTTTACAGGCTCATCTTCAAACAGCCCTAGGATTTAGGTACTATTATTATCTCCATTGTATAGATGAAGAAACTGAGGTTAAGTTATTTCCAAAGTCACACAGCTATCTAGTGGCAGAGCTGGGATTCAAAGCCAGGTTGTCCAACAGCACAGTATAGGCCTATACTAGGGATGTCACCGTCTAGAAGGAGCAGCCACCTGAACTGGTGGATAAGCTGGAGTTTGCCCAGGGGCAAGAAGGGGCAGTGGGAAGGGTGCGGAGCTTGACCAGGAAAAGGAGAGCCAAAGCCAGGTGCCTCCAGAGCCGAGAGAAGGGAGCCCTTGGATGTCATGGTTCTGATTTTCCAAGCTCAGAGCCCCTGGTCACTCTGCCCCCAGGTCCCTGCTGCTATGGCTCCTCAGAGCTGCCCGATTTCCCCCCTCCTTCCCTCTCTCCCCAGGTAATCTCCTTTACTCTCTTGACTTTATCTCTGCTGAGCTCCGGACCTTCAGGTCTAACCGCTTTCTGGACCACATTTAGATGCGTCACAGACAATCAGCCTCAGGTCCAAAGCCAGGTCCCCTGTTCCCCGCCTGCACCTGCTCTGCCTCCAGGGCCCCCAGCTTATCTCTGGTGCCATCATCCACCCACTTGCTCAAGCTGGAAAGCTGGAAGTTCTCCTGGACACCTCCCTCGTCCTCACCCCCACATCCCACAGCCAATCCTCAGCAAGTCCTGTTAGCTCTCCTGAATCGCTGTTTCCAGTCCCTGAGCTCTTTTGCTGCCCCCTGCCCTGCTCCAGGCCACCATCGGCTCTCACCTGGGCTACTGTGACAGCCTCCTACCTGGTCTCCTGACATTTCTGTTTTTGCCCCACCTCGTTTCATTTTTCACACTGTAGCCACAGTGATCTTCTTTAGATAAATGTTTGATTGTGTCGTTTCCCTGCTTAAGACCCTTCCAAGACTTCTTGGAATAAAAGCCAGCCT